TTCTGTAAAAAAAGAAAAAAATATATATATGTATATATAAAATTTGCTTCAGTATTTTTTCAGTATTGCAATACAAATAGTTATGTATGTGTGAATTCCTTAGAGAACTAAAAATTACTTCGACACGAATGATGCGCAGTAAAACCGATACGAACGCCAGATAATATATCCTTTTCGATTGCGGAAAACCGGCGTTCTCAATCGGCTAAAAGAAATTTTTTGTATTATATATATATAATACAAAAAATATACAAAAGAAAATGTGCAGCATACTTCAAATTAATTGGATAATACGGCAATCAAGCAAATTTCTAAAAACTTCATTTTCAATTATTATATCAAAAATTATAGATATCGTTAAAAACATTTCTTCGCAAAGAAGTCTACCATGTATAATTTGAGGAACAGTCATCCAATTAGCCGACGAGCGTCTAGAACATTTTTCAGAGAACGTCCACGATGTAAGAGTCGTAATTGCGGGCGACGATAACGCGCCTTCTCGTTACTACAACTCGTAATTTCTCGTTCCGCCCACTTCCGGCTGTCTACGCTTGCTAACGCGACGATCGCTTAGAAAAAGAAAGAGAGGGGAGAGGGAGGAGAGAGAAAGGAGAAAACGAGAGAGAGATAGAGAGAAACGAGCGATCGATATTTCGCGAGGCAGCGTTCGCTCGCTCGCTCGTGGGAGTGCGGGTCCTCGGATAATTGAAAGCTGCCGGAAAAATCGTGCGAGTCATCGCGGTACGAAGGTGGATCGTGGGGGGTGGAATTATTAAAATTGACTCGACGGAAGTGGCGGCTAGCTGAGGGAGGAGGGTTGGCTGCGGCCGCTGGTCGAGAAATCGCTGCCAATTCGAGGCGTTTGATCGGCGGCGACTCATCCACCACCTGCCTGTCTTCCAATGCTCTCTCATCGATCGACTTCGACCAATTCTCTGCGCGGCACGGCTCGTTAAAAATGACCGAAGCCCGTGTCCACCTCCGCACTTAATGCTAAATGCGACTATTGAATTCTCGGCTCGTAACAACATTCTTCGTATAACGGAAGCTCACAATTATACAGGCGTATTTAGTGCTAGATAATAAGGTATGGTCTCTTTCGGGATTTAAATGAGAATCGCTTTTCGAAGAATGTTAGGAATTATGTTTTATCCGAATTCTAAATAGTTCGAAGATAAAAGAGACATTAAACTCGAATCGTTATTTGTATTCGTTCCAGGTATATGGATTATATGATTCAGAAAGAAACACATATATTTAGAGAAGTAAGATGTATCCTGCAAGTATAGAGAAAAGCAAGAAATACTTCGAATTTTTACTTAAATATATATTAAGTTAAACTCAAGCATTTTCCCCTTTAACGAAATTTCACAACATGAAACTTTTATAACATGTTACCATAATATTTTATGCATTCATTGTTTTACCAATACATCTAAATTTCAATATCTTCAATAATTATGAAAAATGGTTCACATAAATCTTAATAAAAGAAAAATCATTTTATACATTCCAATATGAGATATCGATTTGTATAATGAATGTACCGACAAGCGAAAACATCGTACTTACATATACAAATAGAGATCTATGTATTTGCGATTACACGCTATTAATAAGTTAGACGCGCCGAGCAAACAGAGCAAAACTTCGCGGATTGGCCTGATGGCCTGCTTGCAACTTTTATATCTCGCAACGTTTGCATTGAAACGGTGAAACAGAAATTTAACGAGAGGACGATAGACGGGGGCGCTCTTGTTTGCACAATCGATTCGCCACATACGTGCTTTTACGCGCGCGCTGCAGGAACGTCCTTCCCGCTTGGAAAATATCAAAAATCTTTCCGGGCCCGCTTCTCAGACGAGAACGTTATGGGATGTTGCATATTCTTTTTAACGTTTCATGTCCCTTGTTTTAATCGGAATATTAAAAATAAATAAAAATCATCAAAGAGAAAGAAAATATTTAAAAAAATACTCCTTTTCATATTGTTTCAAACTTATTTTTTCGAGTTTATTGACAAACAGAAGCACACAGGACATTAACAAAGATTTGGTTTTCCTTGACTTTGTCAATAGCATGAATGAAGTTTTTGAATCGTCTTATTTTAATGCCAAGGTTCAGAATACAAAAACAAACTACGATTGAAAACTTTCGCAAATTCAGGTTATATCTATTATTACTAAATGATACACATCCTCGTAGACAAATATTTTACAACTGACATGCCTCTGTCAAATCAAAAACGTATCAACGTTAAGATAAAGATAATTTTAAATGATGGAATATTTAATTATATATAACAGAAAAAAGAACGATTTAAAAAAGTCTTACTTTTCTACCGAGTTGCAATCAAGAAATAAATAAGTTCACTTAATAATTTGACAACAGGCCATTGTAATGTCTTTAGATACACAGTAGAATTTTCAGCGAATTTTCTAATAGAGAGATCTATATAGATAGAATAGGTAAGTAGAGTATATTATAGTTATATAAACAATTATATAAATAGTAAATAATAATAGTATCTATAATAAAGATGTGTAAGTATGTAATAATTATTATAACAAATATGTATTATAACAAGATATAACAAATATATTATTAATAGTAAGCACAATATAGTCTAACATATCGATAAATATAAAAATATAAAATTGATCGATTAATCGATGATGAAGGAGTCGAGCTGTCGTGACATGTCGCTGTCTTGCGCAAAGATGTTTAGAGCGTGAAATTTTCGTGATTACGCCTATCCCCGGAGAGCTTTTCCGTAGGATGAGGGTGCAGTCGATAGTGGCCGCCGTCACGCCGGGGGGAATGAAAACGTGCGACGAGTCTATTATTTTTGCCTTGGGCCGATCGAGGGTGCGCGCCGCGGTGCCCGGGTTTTCGTCGGAGATAGGACGGCCAGCGAGATTCGGGGATCGCAAATCTGGGAAATCCACGGCGAGGCACGCACAGCACGTGACTATCCGGTCTGCGCCACGTTCGCCCCCGATAAAGCACACACATCGAAAATATCGTTTTTTAAGTGGCTCAATATGCCCCGCGGCTGTTTCCCCGCAGCTCGCCCTCTCAATCCTTTCGGC